TGCGACGCTCTCATCGAGAAAACTTCTGGGAGTCACGCGTAAAAAAATAGAGTCAAAGATCAACGATCTTGCACCGATAAGAAGTCGTGTTTTCCTCAGACACGATGGTTTCCGTCTGTGATCACTTCAAGCTTATTCTTATTGTTCAAAAACCTACTTCGGGGCATCCAAATGTCTTTTCAAAAAAGCTTTTACGCACAAGATTGGGTAGGTATCCAGCCAGACTGTCACACTATCCTCCTTAGTGCTCAAAAGGTATTTATAGGGCCACGCTGATCACGTGGTCTTTGAGTCACTGTTACCAGGAACTGGACGAAATTATCCAGCAAAAAACAATATTTGCATTTGCTCTTGAATATTATATCATATGTTAAAATGTTATACTAATAACAGAAGCACTCAAGTCTACACAGGTTGAAACGACATCAGTTGTTCCCTTGTATATGTACATATTTTAAGACCTCCAAGTGCGAAGATCTCAAATATTCTGTGCATATTTTATGCTTTATCAGAGGGAAAAGAATATAAGAAATAGGTATGTGAATGTATGTGTTAAAAGTGAAAAACTGTCTTACTGGTAGCTTCTTATTCACTTTAAAAAAAGAAAGAAAAAAGTTTCATACCTGGACATGAAGTGTTTGATTCACTTAAAGAAGACACCGTGACTTCAGGGGAAGGTGCACCACTGATGGTGACTGATCAGAAAAAAGATTATAAAATTATTATTATCATTATTGATAATAATAATAAAAATAATAAAATGATAATAATAATAATAATAATAATAATAATAATAATAATAATAATAATAATAATAATGCACGCATATTGAGAGAAATCAAAATTTTGAATCTGTTCATAAAGTAAAAAAGATGGAAAAGAAAAGATAATAACAATCTGCAGCTCAAGTTATTATTATTACTAGTATTGTTATAAAGCTTTTTAATTGAGGTTAATTTATGAAGTAGAGTGCACAGCACTTTAAAATCCGAGTGTGAAATAGATTTTTTTTAAATATACATATTTTACTAAAATAGTCCTCGACATGTTTTGGTTTTTTTTTTTTGTTCAGTATTTTACATTTTTCTTTCGATTTTATCTAATGTAACGTAACCTTAAATCCGTTTTGTTTATTCAAGTATCCAAAGTGCTGCATAAATAAGTTGTACAAGCGGAGCATGCACAACTGTCTGAAAGGTTTCAGACAGGCGCATAATTCCGTGATTCAAACGAAGAAAAAATTCTCACGGGTTTAGTGTTTTCCTCATCAACAATTCGCAGCATTATTCGTGGGCATTTTTTGCATATTTTACAGTGTTACACGGGGGTATAGTGTGCCGCAACCTGCTTCAATTCATCTTCGTGAAAGGCCAGGAGCAGATGACAAAGTGCAATGTGTGCGGGCTTATTTAAAGCAGGCGGGCATTCCAGTTCATTATGGGGCAGAAACATCGAATTACTGTAATGCGTTTACATCAGCACCCCATTAATCCTAGCTACAAGTCAAACAGCAAACAGATCAGATTCATATATGTCATATTTTTTGCTTTTAGGGTGGGTTTTTTGTTTGTTTGTTTTTGGGTTTGGGAAAGTCAAAGAACAAGACTTTCATGCGTTTTCGACGACACTTGTTTTCTTTATGTTGTTTGTTGCCTTTTCTTGAACAGTGTGTGTGTGTGTGTGTGTGTGTGTGTGTGTGTGTGTGTGTGTGTGTGTGTGTGTGTGTGTGTGTGTGTGTGTGTGTGTGTGTGTGTGTGTGTGTGTGTGTGTGTGTGTGTTGTTTTTACTGATAGAGCAAGTTCAAATCGAGCATGCGTAACCCTAAACATGGAAGCGCTTGCTGATCTATGTGTCCTGCTCTCTGACCTGCCTGTCACAAGTCTTTAAAAATCTGAAATAGACGCTCTGACACCTGCCTGACAGCTACCCAAGAGACATAACACATTAACTTATATTAGATCATTCTTACGGAACCCAAGGCCCAGCCTTAGTTTTATTCACAGATCAGCGAAAATATTGCTCTTATTTGTTTATTTATTCCCTCTATTATCTTTTAAAACACCGACCATATGTCACAATGACCTGCCTTACGAACAGAAGGGGTAGCAATTCGCATTGCCTTCATTTGATAACTAATGCTGGTTTTTTACTTACAGTATAACCAATGAATTAATTATATACATATTTACGTAAAAATATTGTCAGTCTACTTAATGCTACGTGTGTAATCACGTGGAAGTAAGAAGAGTAAGAGTTACCGGAGCTTTTGAGAAGTTATCATCTTTTAAAGCTTCAGTAGGCGTTAGTTCATATTCTCTGCGACTCTCAAAAAGAAGAGGCTTATTTCAGTTTATGGTGTTAAGGCGCCCTCTGCTGTTTGCAGAGCAGTGATGATTAAAGTCTTGCACTCGCAGGTGAGACTAGCAGTGACTCATTCAAGCAGCAAATCGGTAAAACTTGCACTGACTGGCAGAGGTTATTGAAACATTCTCACGTAATGAGGAAACCACTTTATACAATGCAAAAGCCTTTGTTAGAAAAATTAATATAGTTTTATTTTTTTTTATAATGCCAGAGAAGTACATAACTTCTATATTAGGCTATAAAATATCAACTACTGTTGATGTGCAACACAACACTTCCTGAAATAAACTGTCTGGCTGAATATAGACGGTTAGTGCTTGAATTGAGGTTAAGGGAGCAGATTGTACTGTGAGACTAACACCTGCTGAAAACTCATATGTAATGTAAATGAAGCCTGGTATAGCTACACATGAGCGCCTGCTGGATATTATTTTTAAATTGATGGCAAATAAAGAATAAAAATGTGATCATAATGACTGGATTGTGGCTTTCCTGGATGTCCTTTGGGATACTTAAAAAATAACATTTTGCTTAAACAGTCACATTGTGTGTCTCAAACCTTCAGTGCGTTTTGTTGACGTAAGCACTTTTCAGCACTTGAATATGAAAATTAGATTGAGATTGCATCTCAGTGATGAAACACGAACACCCAACAAGACTTACCAACAAAATAAAAATTTAAATAAGCTCATTTCAATAAATCAGAAAGTGTTTTCACTGGTGACTGCTCTTCAAAATATGTTCGGGTAAATCATAATTCAAAAAGTTAATGATTAAAAAACTTAATGGAGGGTGGAGAAAATTATACAAGCTGGACACGTCGTGCCTTTGCTTCCACCTAGTGGTGAGGCAGCTGTCCGAGTCCTTCGGCGACTTCAGCGCTTCAGAGTTATCTAATAAAAGTTTTGGGGCGTTTTTGCTGAATACACGGTTGTTGTGATTGGTTGGCGTGAGGTTTGGGCGGTGATGAGCAGACCTGGACTTTGAATTTGACTTTTCTGTTAGAATTGTTAGAAATTGTTGGGTTTTATCCTTCAAACGGAACAACCATTACAGTTTATACTTGCAAGTAAGTGCTTTACTCATGGGTATGTTTGCGTTTCCACAAATTTGTCCCAGGTGCCTAAAACGGAATGTTTTTCTTACACCTTTCTTCAATCTGTATTATAAGTCAAATATAAGTCATATAACTGTTTACACGATAATTTATCCCAACTATATACCTCAGAGATAAAAAAAAAAAATTGTCCCAGCTGTTGTCTGAAACATATTTTGTCTCCAGCAATAACTGCTATGCACACTTTCTTTATGTCCTTATTTCATTAGATTACCAGGAAATTAATTTCCACAAAATACGGCTCATATGTGGCTCTTTTTTTGTTGTTTTCTTTTCTTGTGTTGTATTGCTGTTGTTACAATTCACAAGTCTAGAAAATTACATGTAAAAATCCATAAAGAGGAAAAGCCTACAAGATATTAAAGATTATTATAGCAGGGATGCTTAACATAGCATAACAGTAATTAATAATTAATTAACAAATTTAAAAAAAAAAGGCTTAATGCAGGTTTTGGGGCATTTATTTATTTATTTTTACAGTTTGAGTATCTTTGTTAAATCGCCATGCATCTTTGCTAACCTGAATTCCATGTGATTGGTATCAAATTCAAGAATGATGGTAAAGATGATTTTATTTTTAGTTTTGAGTCTAGTTTTTTAATTGAACACTTCTCAATAAAAACTCTATTTGTTTTATGTCATTTATTATTGATTATGTCAGTGAAATACATTTAAAATATAATTATTCATTCGTGCATTTGAACACAGAAAGTTCGAGTCTACCTGTACCCAACTCAAGACGTCATTTTAAAAGTGTGGATTTTGAATGGTTCATTGGTGATTCGTGGTGATGCAATGATTCATTCCAAAGAACTGACTAAAGTGGTTTATTTGTGAACTGGTTTAATATTTTCTCACACCAATTTAGGTTAAATCAATGTAAGAAAACTGTGTTCATAGATTTTAGCTTGTATTGACATGGAATCTTTTAAAAATAAATATTACCCATTTTCATAGTTTTAAAGTTTTAAATGGTCAAGGAAAAAGGCTACATTTACTTTACTGTAAAAATCCTTTTTATTTCCTTTTTATATCCTTTGTCGCGTGTAATGCTAACACCCTTCCTTTAATAAAGTCTTTACATCAGCACAATATTTACATAAAAAAACAGCAGACGTGAAACAGCAGACGTGAACAGTCTATAAGTCTATAAGAAACATGTAAACTTAAAAACAAACGGCAAAATACAGGAAATACGAAAGCAGTGTTTCACAGATTAGTACATATTGAGATACACTCATGGAATGTGTCAAACTAAATGGCTTTACACCTTTTCAAATAGGAATGTTTCATAGTGAGGCTCGGTCTTATTGTGTCATGTCCTTTTGAGCTTGGCAAAAATTAAATTCCGAAATTCCAGCGTGAACTAAATCTATTATTTATTGTTATGCTGACTGAATAATATGGACCTTTTATTTTTAAGCTGTTCTTCTGATTAATTTGGGGCTTTTTCCTTTAATGGGCAATTTAGGTCTAGAATCCTTCCTGTCTGCACTCAATTAAGTTTTTAGTCTTCATCTTACATATACCGCTCTAATCCTGACGCAAAGTTGGCTTGTCTCATGTAAGTGTTGTTGTAGTTCATGGGGCTGGAGAGGCCCAGTAGCTGCTCCGAGTGCTCGGCGCAGGAGCTCGGGCGCAATGCCGGTAGGGAGAGCCGGTTGCTCGTACAGTACACTTGGGAGCTGCCCGGGGAGAATCCGGACTGGGTCATGGTGGGTAGATTTGGAGGAGAAGCCGGAGAGGAATATGGGTACCCGGTGGTCAGGTTGGATGAAAGGTTCCCGCTGTTTCTGCTCAGCATGTTCGCTGACGGGTTGACAGTCTGAGTCTGGAAGCAAGCAGACGGGTCGGCGCCGGTTACCGAGCAGCTGGAGGTCATAGTGCTCAGATCGCCTCCACCCAGTCCCAGCGCTTGGGAGTTGAGGTCCCCAACTGGGCCGCTCTGCACAACCGTCTGCTGACTGATGATGTTGTCGATGCTGAACATGCGCGGCTGTCCTTGGCTGACTCCAGCAGAGGTCTGGTAATGATGCAGCATGGCTGGGTGTGGGGATGTGGCCGTCAGCTGAGAGCCGTAACCTGACCCTATGCCGGCATACAGGGCGTTTGGATACGAAGGCCTTCCCATTGGCGTTGGCGTAAAAGCGCTGGAGCTCTGCATGTAACCGGGGTATGTGCTAACGTCTGTGCGCTTGAATCTTTTCCTTCTCCTCAAAAAACTTCCGTTGTCAAACATGTCCTCAGCTGCGGGGTCTAACGTCCAGTAATTGCCTTTACCTGGTCTGCCGGGCTCCCGGGGGATCTTCACAAAGCAGTCATTGAGCGTGAGGTTGTGGCGGATTGAGTTCTGCCACTTCTTCGAGTTCTCCCTGTAGAAAGGAAAGCGCTCCATTATGAACTTATAAATGCCCCCTAAGGTGAGTTTCCTCTCCGGGGAGTTGGCAATGGCCATTGCGATGAGAGCGATGTAGCTGTAGGGAGGCTTCCCCCTCTGGACGGGCCTCTTCCTCCTGCGGCTCCCCGAGGGCAGGTGCTCTTCAGTCTGACCCAGAGCGCCTCCGTCCTCCGTGTTGGGACTGTTTCCTCGGGGCTCGGACTTGATCAAAATGCTTTCCTTTGACCGGGCCTGCAGCATCAAAGGCGGCGGAGGCAGTGGCGAGTCCAGGCTCACATTTGGAGACATGACAACAGGACTTGCCTCGGCAGGTGATTGCTCTGCGGTCATGTTGCACATGCCAGAGAAGTAGGAATAATTTGCTAGATTCATAAAAGAACCAATGCAACGATCGCCTTTTTGTCGAAATGATCAGCAGGGGAAAGAATCAACCAGGTGCATGTACAGCCCCTTGCTCTGGCCCCTATCCTGCCCTGGTGTTTGGGGTAGTGTGTGTGTCAGTTCAGGTGAGAGAAAGGCGTTGACAGTTTTATATGACAGGGCAGGAATGACGCCACTGAGTAGCCAGTGACGACTGAGGCAGGAGGACCCACCGAGTACTCACCCAGAAATTGACAATTTTCTAACAGACTGCTGTTTATATAATACAAAGACTTGCATGTAATGCTAAATTTTTAGATTGTAAAAAGTGTTGTATTTTTACATTGTAGGGTTTAACATCTTTAATCAGAAGAGGCCCGTATATGGCAGAACCAAACAATAATATTGCATTTATTTGTCATTCTCACATGGATGTAATGTTTGAGACACTAACAAAAATTTTAGTGGCGATGCATTCTCTGTCTCTCTCTCTCTCTTTCTCCTTGTGTGTCTTTATCTCAGCTGCTCTCTCTGTGCTTTCACTAATGCCTGTGTGTATATCCAGGGCAGAAACAACACTCGGAGAGCTGCTCCATGCTACTCCAAACCCAACAGCCAATCCACCAATTGAAAAATAATAACAAGCCACTGAAAACAAGCAATTGAGCTATCAAAGCTTTTGGGCAAGAAAAGTAAATATCCCTTCATTTCATTTTCATTTTTGGAGAGTGATAATCAAACACTCCCCGTGGTGTAGAGGAGAGGTGTTATCTTATGGATTTTGAAGTAAAAACAGGGTTGTGCACACAGTTGGTATGCAGACAACACTCTTTGAAGACCAGAACTTGAAAGTGCTTTTAATTGATCATTCAGGCAAAAAAGAAGGCTGAAGTTAATTGCACAGGTAAAACGCACAGAGATGAACTACCAGTGTTTAAAATGTGGGTTAAGGTGTTGAAGCGAGCTGAAGGGAAGCTTAATAATGTCAATGACATCCAAGCAACAAATTAAAGGAAAACCCAGGATGGAAGAGTTCATAAGTAAATATTACGTGAGCAGTGTTATAAGTCACGCAATCACCAAAAATCTAATTCAACAACAACACATCACACAAGGTTACATTTTTTGGTAGAAGGGTCAAATCTATGACAAACTAAACTGGGAGCATGCATTTGCCAGACACCATATTGGAATATTTTTTGTTGTTTTTCCTTTTAGTTGATCTCCCAAATATTACTGTACAAATATGTGGTAAATCATTGACAACTAGGTAGAACAGATCCATGGAGACAGAGCGATGATGTTCAAAAGAAGAAAGACGAGATGGCTCGTTTTCCTTCCAACATGAGTAACACAAATAAAAAAGTTTTGACAACAGCCAGACCAAAGCTATTAATCATCGCTGCCCACTCTTCTCCCAGATGCCTTTTCCCCCCGATCACCCTCTCTCTGCCAGCACACAGGAGCTGCCACCTCTTCCCACAGATGACTGGACCCCTCCCCACCCAGCCACAGCTCAGACAACACTAAGCCCAGCTAGCTACTCACAGCCAGTGGCTAACAGCTTCAGACAGGCGTGGGAGCGGGGATGTATCCAAGCAGGATCTGCCCCCAGAGCTGTCAGGTCAGGCAGGACAAACAGGGGCTCAGGCCAGGAAACGAGGCCTTCTGCCTCGGGGCCTGCGGCCTCTTGCTAATCCCCACCCTGACCACCTCATTACCCTGTCAGAGCCTTCACACCTCTCTGTACCTCAACACTATCAGTACATTAGTCATGTTGTACGGCCAGTCTGCATGCTTGTTTCTCTGTCACACCGTACTTTTACTTACTTTATTATGTTGTGGCTAGTCAAGAAAAAGCCCGCTACAGTAAAACATTTTAAATTAAGTCTATGGATGTGGGAGAATTAATCTAAAATGTAGAACAAGAGAAGTTACCAGCACCCAAAAAGTGGAAGTTTCATCTTAGAGTACAAAAACCCTGCTTAATTCTTAATAACTGCAAGAATAGTGACTAAAACTAACTCCAACTCTTAGCTGCAATCCAGTTGTTTAATATGTTTAATAGCTCCATTAGAACATTTTTCATCAAATTAAACTTTCATACATTTGCTATTTTTTATATTTAACTGTATATTAGACTGTAGTCAGTCAGTTGGAGTAACTTCACTGGTGGGAAATATTTGTTTGTTTTTTCGTTAGAAAAAACCCGACTTCCTTAAACCCCTCTGAACCTATGCTGTATTCTAAAGCGAGATGAATCATGTATCATATCGACAGGATTTTAACTGGAAACTACTTGGTAAGTGACAAATTATTTTAACGTAGAATCCCCCAAATTCACTATAATTCACTTTATAAGAGCATGAAGACAAAATATGAACAGGTAACTTTTTTACCAACATCAGACACACAGTTAAACGTCGCAGCCACTGTGCTTTAAAGGGTAAACATGAACTAATTAGACCGCCATTCACTGGACACTTTTTTAGTTCCACCCGTTTCACTGCGCATTAACCTAAATATATAATCAGCCACTCACATCACAACATAATGCATTTAGACATGGTCAAGTCAACATGCTGAAGTTCAAACTGAGCATCAGAATAGAGAAGAAAGTTGATTTAAGTGACTTTGAATGTGATATGGTTATTAGTACCACATGTACTGGTCAGAATATTTCAAACTGCTAGTCTGCTGGGATTTTCCCACAAAATCATATTTAGGGGTTACAGAGAATGGTCTGAAAAGGAGAAAAATATCAACTCAGAGCTGATAGGAAAGCAACAGTAACTCAACTAACCACTTGTTACAACCAAGGTGTGCAGAATAGCATCTCTGATACAGTCCTCACAGATTCGCCAGAATTGGACAATAGAAGATTGAAAAGCATTGTCTTGTCTGACGAGTCATGATTTCTTCTGCCACATTCAAATGGTACAGTCAGAATTTGGTATAAACAACATGAAAACGTGGATCCTTCCTGCCTTTAATTAACAGCTCAGGCTTCTGCTGGTGGTGTAATCATGTGGGGGAGATTTTTTCATACACTTCGGGTTGCTTAGTACTGACTGAGCATCATTTAAACACCACAGACTGCTTAAATATGCTTGATGGACATGTCCGCCCTTTTATGACCACAGTGTACCCTGCTTCTGAAGTCTCCTTGCAAGAGGATGACACACTACCACAAAGCTCAAATCACCTCAAACTGGTTTCTTGAAGATGACAATGACTTCACTGTGTAGTCATCTACAGTCACCAGATTTCGGTCAAATAGACTTTTGGGATGTGGTGGGATGGATGTGCAGCTCACAAATCTGCATCAGTGGGATGATGCTATCATGTCAATACTGAATGTTTCCAGCACCTTGTTCAATCTATGCTGCAAATAATGAAGACGCTTATGAAAGCAAAAAGCAGTCCAACAATACTAGCAATGTGCATCTAACAAAGTGTCCTGTGAGTGTAAACTGGATGCTTATTTAAGGGTAATCGAATGAAGGAAAGATGGCTACTTCATCTCAGACAGACAATTTCACATGTCCAGTTTTATTTTGTTCTAAATGTTGATTCCACATTGTGCCGCCACACTGGATATTACATCCATCCTGAACCACTTCAGCCAGAGTTTGACATTGGGGGAATTTTCTCTCAGGAACTGATCATAAGTTTGCAAGATTTTCTGAACCACTTATGCCACTGGTAGGAAATCATGTAGCACGACTCCTACAGCATGTACTTTTCCAGTTTTGTTTTAATGTTCTTCACAAGTTTTAGCAAATCTCAGTTACATTTCCAGTCATATTTCCCAGTTTGCTAAGAGATTCACTGATGGTAGCAAGTTCACAGGTTCTCTTTTCCTTTTCCATGAAATCCTGAGAAGTACTGAGGGTGAGATGGATGGACAAAGTTGCTGAGTAAACACTTGGAATCTATTCATTCGCACAGTGGCTCCAGGGGATGGGGAGGAGGGGTTCATGAGAAAAAGTGGGGGAATGAATGAGCGAGGGACAGAGGGAAAGAGAGGGAGACACAGAGAGAGAAACACACGGGAGAGCGCAACCTTTTTCTTGCTCAAGCTCATCAAGTACGGGCCAGGGCTCCTGAAAACGCAGGGATTACCAGGGAACAGGGGCTGTACTGGCCAGGGCCGCCTCTGCTCACTCCTGCACTGCACGCTACACTGCCCCGCTAAAGCACAGCGCATGGTTCTCACACACACACACACACACACACACACACACACACACACACACACACACACACACACACACACACACAAATCAGTCATGCTTGATGCTTACATATAAGGTAATCAGAATCAGAATCAGAATCAGAAACTTTATTGTCATTGTCATGAGAACAACGAAATTAAGAATGGTCCCCGATCATTGCATCATCCCTAGCAATATCAAAATATAATATAATCATATCTCATTTTCAAAATTTCACATGAACACACACAGATAAAAAAAAGAGTGAATATATGCATCATAAATAGCTTTATAATTACTTCACAAGTAGTAATTTAAAAGTAATCATCTCTAATTATTATTATTATAATTTTTACATTTTGGGACGTTAATGCAATAATAAACTGTCTAGAGCAAACCCCAGTTTTCTACTACTGACCTCTGACCATTCAAATGAAGAAACAGACTTTACTTAATACAGAATATACAGTTTATTCTGCAATCGTTCCTTCACCAGGCAACATAAACCTTTGACCCATTGCTATATGATTAAAGATGTGCTACTTAAGTTGCTTCCTGGATAAATACTTGTCTGCCCCCAAGACACCCAGACAATCCCTCAGCCTTGGGCAATGCAGTGAGGGATGCTGCAAAATACATACGTTAGACTGAACACCAAGCAGAGGTCAAATCCTGTTAAGGTAAACACAAACAATGAGGAAGTGAGCAACATGTGCATAAAGTGGAAAACATGACCATCTGACAGAGTCTGTTGAAATGCTTCAGGGGATTCTTTTAGCAAGAAGCAAGCGGTGC